GCTCTCCTGAGGGGTGATAAGGATTCGTCCTTGGTACCTCTTTCCCACGTAGCCATTGGTGTCGGCGATGAGAGCGCAGCTCGTCCTCCCCAGTTTGCACCAGAACCTCTTCTCACCACCTTGGGTGTCCCCGGGTGGGCACAGGACCGTGACAGAGCCACGGAGCTCCCCCTGGATGAGTTCGGTCAGTCTCAGCGCACCGGCATCTGTAGGGAGAGAGCACGGCAGGCACTGTCCGGCATGCAGTCCCCAGCCAGGCAGGAGAGAGTTTCCTTTTGCATTTATGAACAGCTGATTTGGCCAAATCTGGGTATGTTTATACCCCATCATTGTCAATATCTGGTTAATAGCACGGGGTAGAAAAAGTTGATACGCCTGCTGTGTGTGGATGCTCCAGCATCTGGCCCCAAACCGCTCCCTGCGAGCCGGGCTGCCGGCGGAGCGGAGCCTCCCCTCTCCCCTGCCAGCATCCTACCTGCCAAAACCGTCAGGTTCAGGCTGACATACAGGTCTCTGTTGGTGGTGCCGATGCCACATCGGTAGGTCCCCGTGTCGCTCTTCTTCAGCTCTGTCATTGTCACCATGAAGGTGCCATTCTGGGGGATGTCCTCGAGGGACACTCGCCCTGCGTGGTCTTTTGAGGTGTAGCCGGTTGTAGAAATGATGGTGTAGCAAACTCCGCTTCCTGCTATTTTGCACCAGTATTTTCGGTCGTGTTTGTTGGCTGGCATGATGGAGTAGAAGCACTGATGGGTGACCGATCCTCCAACCTCACCTGTCAGAAACCTGGCTCCGTACAAGGTACTTGAGACTGGCTCTTTGTGGGAAAGAAAGAAACAGAAGTAGTTGGTTAGAGACAGCCAGATTCTTGCCTGGCAAAAACCGGCATAGCTCCTTCAAATCAAGGGCACCAAGTAGGACATCTGGCTCAGAAAGTTCAGAGTTTATTTTGGATGTGGTGTTTTACCTTCCTTAAGTGCCACATTATCCGCTTGAGGATAACTGACGGCGTAGAGCCGCTGCCCCTTTGCCACAACACAAATGGGGAAACCCTCGATGCCCCTTACAGGGTTCCCCAAACCCCCATCAGCCCTGACAATCCTGTCTGGAGTTAAATGTCAAGGGCAGCAGTTAACAGCAAACATCTAATAACCTTTGGCATTTGCAAACTCTGCCTGATCTGGCAACTTTCCTCTCCTTGCAGTGGCATTGCACAGGCGCAAGTGGCTGGCTGCAGTGCCGGGCAACGGAGAGCTGGGATTCTCCTTCCCAGCTCTCGCCATGCCTTTGCTAGCTCTCTGCATAGTGGGCAGGGAGGTTTGACCAGTTTCCATTTTGCAGGTGGAGGTGTCTGCTAGTGAGGATTTAGCCAGGGATGTACCTGTGTCCCCGGTACCAGCTTTGCCTGTTCTCGTCAGTGTAAGTGGCTGGAGAGCTGGTTTCTTGGCGACTCACCTTGCAGCAAAGCTGCTAAGAGAAAGAGAACCACCATGTCCAGCCTTCACGAATGTTTGCTCGGCAAACTTCAAAAATCTCACTTTGGATACGGGATTTTGCTGATGTCTGTGTTATCAAACAGAAGAGAGAGATTGTGGGTGGGGATCTGCCAAGGTAAACCACCTGGATTGCTCTGATGGCTGTTCGGAGCAGAGCGCCTGCGTCCCTGGTGGCTCCCAGCCCGTGACACGGCCTAGTCCAAAGATAAGGGAATTTTAAAAAGAAAAAAAAGTGCTAATAGCGCTCTAACCCTGCATTAAATCCTCTGTTGTGTGGGTACTAAAGGCATTGCTGGTAATGACCTGCCAGGTCACTGGCAGCTGAAAGCCGGGGGTCTGTCGGGCTGGTGAGGGACCTGTTGCGGCGAAAGCCGGGGGGTCTGTCGGGCTGGTGAGGGACCTGTTGCGGTCCTGCAGCTGAGCCACAGCACCGCAGCCAGCAAGCAGCTGCCCCCGCCGGCGCTGCTGCGGCCTGCTGGGCTGTGCTGCAACTTTCACGAGTGCGTGCAGGCACAGAGGCAATCAAGGATTGCTTCGGTGGTTGCCAAACCCAGCACTGGGCAGCCAGCAGCAGCCATGAGATGTGGCACTTTGCTTGGTCCTGCCCCGCCACCCGGCCAGCCGTCTGCAGACAGACCTGTGGCATCAAGCAATTTCTTTTCTTCTTTTTTTTTTTCAGCTCAAGAAACAGTTTGAAA